CTAGCCTCGAAGGAAACAATGCAGATGTTTTATAGAAAGATATCGAGGAACAGGAAAGGGTAAAGTTATAAATCCAAAAGAGAGACCGTAAGTAAGGAAGTTTGCGCATTGCTAGTGGGACCGCTTCTTTTAACAACCACATTATCCCTGAATCCTTCTCTCTCACTCTCTCTTTCTCCTCAACCGTTTTCTTATTTATCGGGTAAACTTTTTCACTTATTCGCTTCTTCTCGGCGTTGACAAACACTTGAATGTTAATCTTCCTATTGTTTTCGTCCTGAATTCCACTCAAAGTTATGACAGTTAAGTCGAGTGGATGTAACCTGACTACGGTTGAAAGATGCCGTCTGGAAGGAAGATAAATCTGTTGATCTCCATTTTTCTCTTTATTGTATTAAATCTGAGTTGTTTACTTAAATAAGTTGTTAATAATCTATTTGTCCAAATTATATTTACACATTGTTGTTGCAGGTGAGGCTTTATAAATTCCATTACAATCCTTTCAGTTTATCTAGGTTTTAAAAAGCATGCATGCATGGTCAAAAAATTTGATTTTCCTTTGGTTTGTTTTCATAAACGAGTTTCACTGAGCTTCTAAGTACTAATTTTACTGTACCTGCCGAACAAGCTCCTTTTGTCAAATGAATGAAATATGTATATGCTCGTCCACTATAAAATTAGTTTTGCATAATTGCGGGGCTTTGTTCTCAGTACTGCCTGAGATGTATGCACGGACGAAAACTAGACCGTGCGGAATAAAATTAAGCGAATAAGTTTTATAAAATTAAACATTATTTTTATTAACCTTCCAATGGATAAAGGTGTGATATAAAGGTGAAAAAGGAAATTTTTTCTTTGTTATATTGCCCTCTCTTCTTTATTTATTTAAACCTGCGTCAATTGTTGCGCCTAATTAAATTTGATTTCATTTCAGCGCAAAACAAAACAAAATGAACACAAAAATATACATAAAACAGAATAAAGAAGAACTTCTCATTAGTAGTCACTCCTATATATTAGCGTTAATCACTTTTACTGTTATTCACTATCACTTAGGAGGTCGCGAGGCCATTGACGCTTCATCCGTCGGGGACGATTATTTGGAAGGTTTGAAAGGTTTCTGTCATGAGGGTTGATACGAGTGGATAATTGTTTGTGAACCTACTTGTAGAGATTTTTCACTACTTCAAGGATATATTGGATATTAAGGCCTTTGTGAATACTAAGATTGGTACTCAAAAAGGAGCATTGACGATGTTTCGAAGGATTGGATACGTTGCAGGTTGGAACGTTTGGTTGAACCCCAAAGTTTAATGCCAGATGTCCAAATAGGTCTCAAAATAGTTATATAAATTAGACGTTTACTGGTAAAGTCTGTTTTGACTATTTATCCAGCAATTTTTCAAAAAGTCTGAATGGTCTGCTTAGCTTTTGTCTTTTGAATCGCATGTGAGGGTTCGATGTAAGTTGTTTGTCAATGTATAGCTCAAGGTAGCTATATTAGAAGATGGGAGAGGGAGACTATTGTAGTAGATGGGAGCAGTGGTTATTCTCCGAAGGGTGATAGTGACATGTTCACATTTTTGTATGTTCATTGACATCTTTCACTGCTTGAACCACTATGGGCATGTGACATGGCTTTGTAGGTTTCTGGTTGAAATGGCTGGGTCTTTATGGGAACAAAGGATGGCAGTATCATTCGCATAGGTAATAAGGATCGTTTCTGGAAGAGTAGGAATGTCTGCGGTATATACCGTTAGAGGATGGGTTCTAAGATACTTCCTTGTGGTACCCCTGAATCTATGGGTTACCCGGCTATACAGAGTAGCCACTGATGACTTGAAAGTATCTGCCAGATAGGTAGGATTTTAGGATTACGAAGTAGGTAAAAGGGAGGACTTTCTTAAGCTTTCAGAGGAGCCCTCGAGTGACATACCCGATCGAAGGATTCCAAAATTAAAATAACCTGTAAATATGTACACAAAATCTACTTAAAATCTGTTACTTTCTTAACACCGATGGTAAACACTTGGGACATTTTTCCCTTAGCGAAAACAGTAAAGCGTCTAATAACATTTTTTCCGTTCCAAAGACTAATAAACAAAAGACACATGAAAAAACAAAACAGCAGTACAGACATTGAATGGTCCACATTCACGTACACCTTACAATGGGGGTGAGACCATTTAGGTGCCCATTGTGTGGAGAATTTTTATCGGTTACCAGACTACAAAGAACTAAGCCTGCAAAGATAAACCACTACATCCCGAATGATCAATGCTCGACCTTGGCACGGCAGCAGGCCCGGATGGCTGATCCAACTCAAGGCCAAAAATATTTTTAATTGTGTATAGATCTTTGTATTTTCATAATATTCCAATTACCCCGAGGGATATCGAGTCCTCAAAGGTAGTGTGAACGAAGTCTGAGGTGTGATGTAATTTATTAGCTCGAATGTGTCTCTCTGGGGTAGTACGAACGAATTGTGGTATTTGCGTGTAATTTGTAATGGAGGGGCATATCCTCAATTGCTCCGAGGAATGTAGAATACTCTGGGAGAGAGTGAGTGCTGACCAGACTATTACGTTTATTTATTACGTTTGTGCGTATGTGTTTGTTATTTGTGAGGCTAGCAATAGGGTAAACAAAAGAGAGAGTTGCTTACTCTTATATAACGGCAATAAGTTGCCTGGAGAAATAAGAAAAGAAATTAAAAGGCATAAAACGCGATAAAGAAAATGAACAAAACGTTGGAAAATTTCTGGGACAAAAACAGTTAATCGAAAGTTCATACTATAACACAACACAAAAACACATAAACCCAACAATACAAAATGGCATAGTTACACAAAAAGAAAAAATAGCGAAGATAGGCAGACCAGGAAGATTGGAAACTAGCAATCTACTTTTTTTTCATAATTTATTTAAACGTATGTAGCATGATAAACAATGTTTTTTCTTGATTGGAGGGATATTTAAACAATTTATCACTATTATCAGTATTGCTTCCATTATGATCACCTGTAAGTGCAAATGAGTCTGTTATCAGTGAATCATTAAAACTATTTTTTACCAGTATGTTATTACAATCTGTGAAATTTAGGTGAGACCAGTCTTCAAGAGCTGGTTAAAAATTACTCAATTACTTATTATTATTATACTCTATGAAAACGTATTCGTTTTAGTGTCAAACCTTTTCTTTTTGATTGTATCGAATTTCTTCAATGCCAGTTTATAAGCATATCAATCAAAATGAAAATAGGCGACTGATTTTTCCGCTCTCCTGAGTCCTTTTATGTTAGAGGTCGTGTTTGGATTCTGCCAGGTTCATAATTCCAGGTCTGGATAGAGGGCATAAAGGATTCGGAGGTTGGTGCTATGCCAAACCAATCGCCTCGAGGAGTCTGGATAATAATGGAAACCACGGCTCACTTCACCCCTTCGGAATAAAACCGCTCGTGCTCCTTTCATTAAAAAAATAAATATAAAATATAGAATATATAAAAGACTGACAATAGTCGTAATATTATACCGCCTAATTATTAGTTTTGAGTTTTGGGCTTTGCTATTTTTAAAAGGAAGCAGTTATAAATTTGTTTAAAGATCTACCATCAGGACAATTATTGAATTATTTACAATTATCATCATGGCACGACAAAACAGTGAAATATTATATAGAGAAATACAGGAAAATACTCTTACATGAAAAGATTATGTCACAAGGTAGCGTTATATTTTTGGACCCTTTCGACACCTCGGATTTTGTTAACCGTTGCCCAAGTTACAGGTAAAATTATATACTCAAGTCCCAACTGCAGATAGATAATATAACATGACCCATTAAACAATAGTCATGAAAGTTGAGAAAAGTTGCCACTGTATATATCTAAAAAAACGTATTTAATGTATTTAAAGTTGCCTCGGTTACTTGGGTCATACATCCCTCTGCAAAATCAACATCGGTTCCTTAAGCACTTACAAAAAAGTTCATAATTATCCAACTTCGTCAAGATTTCTTTAATTACAAAAGTTTTCCGAATGTTTCGAACGTTTTCTTTAATAATAATTAAAAAAAATTCTAAAGATAGAGTGAAATCGGGGACAGGTGTAGGGATCAAAGGGGTGGGCCACAGGGCCTTCTGCACCTCGACCTGAGTAAAACTATTGAGCTTTTCTATTTTTATAAATCGAAGGCAAGTTGTCTAAGGATTTTTGATTGGATTCGCTGGATACTACTCGGTGGAACCCCATAGTTCCATTCCGTATGTCTAGAGTGGACGCATATTTCTAGTAAATAGTTAAGTTTTGCTGATCAAAACATATTTTGGTCTTAAAAATCTTCGTCTATTCATATCTTAAGTGGTGATTCCACGTCGTACTGCTGTACAGGTTACAGTCCTAAGTATCTGACTTGAGTGGAAATCGATAAATACGTGTTGATGTACTGACTATTTTAAATGTAAATTTACTTAATCGACTTGATTAGACTGATTTGCGAAAATACACTCAAAGGCAAAAACTCTGATACTTGTATTTATTTACCGTAATAACTAGGTACAAAGATTAACAATCGACTTAAAACGTAAAAATGGAAAAAAGGAGGGAAAATTCGAAAGGTTGTAGGTTGAGATGGGGAGTTGGTGTCCGAGTGGATCGAAGTCAAAGATAGCTCAAGTGGTAGAGCAGCGGCGTATTCAGCCGAAGGTCGTGGGTTCGAATCCCGCTCGTGGCACTGACTTTTTCATTTTAACCAAAACTTTACATAAAAATTAATTGAAAGAAGTAATTTGGTCAATAGAGCACTAAGTATAATGGATTTAAAACGTAAACTTAACATTAATAACTTATCGTTTACTTTATAGAGTGCTACTAATCCTTTTATACTCTTTAGATTAAAGATATACAAAATAAGTACAATTTCAACCTTTCCAGAGCCAACTTGTCGAGTGAGTTAATTGGTTTTTAATTTTTTTTTTTTGATGTAACAATAAATTTTAGTATTTTTATTTAAACTTAAACGCATGGTTTTTAAGTCGAGATTTCTCCCGGACAGATGCTTTGATCAAGTCGCGTAGCGACCGTTACATAGCCCAAGGTTTGTTTGCCCCGCTCTACAAAGGTTTAGAGCCACCGTAGGGGTCTTGGTCAATCGTGATGTAAGACGGCTAGAAACGATCGTTTTATTGCTATTCATCTCACTAAGGAGCTGTAATTTAATTGCCTCCTTGTTAGGTAGTCAACTCTAAACGGTCCGTAATGTGAGGGTGAGTTTAAAACCGAAAGAAAGCTTCATGAGAATAGCCTAGTCTCTAGACGTCCCGCATCAGATTCTTTACTAGTGGAGAGGCATCAAATAGAAAGGCGACTATTCGCAAATTAGCGTCTCGCTTGTATATCTGATTAATGGGGAATGGGGTGGCTGTTCTCTTCAATGATGAATGCTTGTTTGGTTTGGGGCAATATGAACCCGTGTGTGGAGAACGCTTTGCTTCATGCGCCAAGCGTGAGTCACAGTCTTTTCAAAAACAGTCAGTTATGACATGGGGTGGAATGAACGTTCATATCCGTACCGAACTGATCATCATACAGAATGGATGCTAGACTGTCATTGAGTTGAATTCTTCTAAAAGCTGTGGTCCCATTCGCTCTATTTATTGAAGACAACTTTGTTTTAATGCATGATATTAAGTAAAGTAGATGATAAAGTATACGAAAAAATGATAAAGTAAATCCACATGCATAGCTTTGCGAGCGGTTCTTTAGTGTAGGATCTTGCTTGTGGCTTTCCTCTCCTAGTTACAAGAATCTACAAATTTAATCTACACCTTCGCATAAAATGTTCTGCGGCCTCCTCCTCTTTCAGGCAAATCTGCACACTGTTTCTTCTGTCTACTGTAATCAGGTACCTGTCCCTCTTAGGCGGCAGTGCTCTTTCAGGAGTCCATTCAGAATCTTGGGTCTGTTGCGGTAGTAATTCGTTAGACTGAAATTAAGAATGAGGAAGTGAGATTTTTATATATATCTTTCTTTACGGAAAATATTTCCATTTACACAGTATATATACATTACAAATTTCATAATAGAGGCAAAAATGGCAAAAAGAAGGAAAATTCGATCCACTCGGACACCAACTCTACCTACGACCTTTCGAATTTTCCCTCTTTTTGCCATTTTTCAAATTGGTGTCCGAGTGGATCCAAGTCACAAGTGGTAGCTCAAGTGGTGGACCAGTGGCATACTTAGCCGAAGGTCGTGGGTTCGAATCCCGCTCGTGGCACTGACTTTTTCATTTTAACCAAAACTTTACATAAAAATTAATTGAAAGAAGTAATTTGGTCAATAGAGCACTAAGTATAATGGATTTAAAACGTAAACTTAACATTAATAACTTATCGTTTACTTTATAGAGTGCTACTAATCCTTTTATACTCTTTAGATTAAAGATATACAAAATAAGTACAATTTCAACCTTTCCAGAGCTGACTTTTTCATTTCAACCAAAAACCTTACATAAAAAGGTTAAGTAATTGAAAGAAGTAATTTGGTCAATAGACCACTAAGTTTAATGGATTTAACGAGTAGAACGAAGTATAGCTTCACTAAAAGCTCCCCGTGGCAACTTCATATGTCACCGAGAATCGAATCCTTGTTACACAACATTTTAAAAATGGCAAAAAGAGGGAAAATTAGAAAGGTTGAAGGTTGAGATGGGGAGTTGGAGTCCGAGTGGATCACGATAGCTCAAGTGGTTAGAGTAACGGCGTATTGAGCCGAAGATGGGGTGGGTTCGAATCCCGCTCGTGACACTAACTTTTTCATTTCAAACAAAACCTTACAAAAGATTAATTAACTAGGTTCATGTTTCAGCAATGTTATATTTGATGATGTGGTTCGTTCTGTTAATATATCTTATTATTTGGTATCAGTTCCATGACTTTCGTGTTATGCATTTTCATTCCAGAATGTTTTATGAAATTTTAATAACGAAAAATCAATTTAACACAAGTTGAAAACCACTCCCCATGTGTAGGATCGTTAATTAAGTCAATTGAACTGCAATATACAATTAAAATGCGAGCAATTACCGTTCCAAGTGTTATGTTTAGGGTTGAGACGGCAAAAGAGGGGAAGAGGGCTTAGGAAAAACACGAGGGCACAACTGTGCATTGAGCACAGGTGTTGGGAAAATGTGCTAATAGATTAGACTGAGTTTGGGAGGAAATTACCCCGGCTGGTTGTATGAGGATCCATTAAGCGCTAATCACGTATGCATTGTTCAACTTGTTCATCCCTTTATTTCCCCCCCCCCCAAAAAAAAAAAAAAAAAAAAAAAAAACAAGATTTCCAACCTGGCAAAAAATCTCAACTGACAACTTTTATGGGATAAAGAGAGTGATTATCGACTGGATAAAATTTGAAAACAAAAATTTTGAAGTGATAATATGGTTTATTTTGTGATTTTAATATTCTTAGTTCTTTAATAGTTTTTCAAATAAGTTTTTGTTTGATGCTTTGGGAAGAAAGTAGTAATTGCGCAATAATTGGAACTGTTGACGGGTCCGAAGAGTTGTCATTATCTGTGAAAATTTGTCGCTTCTGCTGAATCGGGAGATCATTAGGCTGATACCATCATTTACAAATTTCTGCTACTATTAACCGTTCTTATTAATGGATTGTTTAATAGCGAGCAGATAATAATGGCCCTTCAAAGAATGATCCAGGTTTTATTTTATAACGGATAGAAAATTCGTTAATACCCAACTATAAAAACCAAATATGCAGATAGAATAATGCTTATTTGTACATCTTGATCTAGTGTAGTTTATTTAATATTATTTTGATAATACTGGTTAAAAACGCCATCAGATGCTTTTGGAAAAAGTGTCAGACTCGAAAAATAAAAAGACTTGCTGTTTCTTTTTCATACCAACATATCAAGTTTGTCCTCAAGAAAGTCTTCACGCAGATTGCTGCTGAAACTGCATTGTTACTCACATATCAACATCAGCTACTAACCTTCTTAAATCCTTACACAGGGTGTACTTTTTAGATGTCCCGGCTGAATTTCTCTTGAAGAGATAAAGTTATCGAAAAACCAAAAATCACATATTTAATATTTTTTATTGTAGATTTATCTTTACCATTTTTTTTTAAATATTTGTTGTCAAGGTACTTCAGAGCCAGTACAACTTGGAAATTTCAAATGAGAACGTATACTTTTTTACACACTGTTTAAAAAAATGTTTTACACTGAAAAGGATGCCAAAATCAGATTAAATTATGCCACAGAATGCCAGCAACTTGGGATATTAGTGATGACATGGATACTTGATTCGGGGATTTACTTGGGCCATAGACACTAAGCAATCTTTCTCCACAAGCGGGACATCCTCATAGGGTTTCCCCCAAAAGCAGTTTCCGTGTGTCAATCAAGTATGACCTATCCTCAAACGGGTGAGCACGATCCCTTCCTTGCGTTTCAGATACTCGGCGGGCCTTCTCTCAGCCGTGCTTTTGACAAGCAAGTGCTTCTCCTGTCCTTTTATTCCGTTCTTTACTGTTCGTACAGCTTCACAGGACCTGGCCGTGGTGGTTCTGTCTGGTGAGCAAGCCGTCACAGCTTTCGCCTCTTCTTCTGCATGTTCGTCCTCCAGTCCAACGTGCCCAAGTACCCAGACGACCATCACGCTTTTTCCGAGACGTCTCAACTCAGAATACCTAATAGGAGAAGGATGAGAGTGTCCGCCGAAAATCTGTCACGAATAGTCGAAGCCGCCCTCAGGGAGTCGGTACAGATGAGATAGTCATAGCCCCCATTGTCTGGAATTACCCCCAGCGCGTGCCAAATCGCATACAACTTCGCCGCGAACACGCTGCGGTGCCGCAAGAGCGGCCACGAAGTGAACGTGTCTCCTCTTTACACGGCGCAGAACACAACCTCGCACGTCCTAGACCCGTAAGCATAGATGAAGAGAAATAAAATTTCGCCCCTCCTCGATCTGGGTACCAGAAACGCAGCTCGATAGACGTACAGCTGTATACACGATCTGGCTAGTACATTAACATTTTTTTTGGTTTTTCGATAACATCTGATCAAGAGAAATTCAGCTAAAAACAACACCCTGTATATTCCACCTTTGAAAACATAAAAAAGGAAAGATGAAGGAAAACACAAAAAAGGAAATGTATATAACCTAGGACGATGACCTCCTTTTTAAATAATCATCATCATTAATCATAAATAAGTTAATCTTTGTTATGTTTTCGATTAGAACATATGTTGACTGTCCCTGAGCCTATGTTCTTCCAACAAGAAAATTGTATGTGTTTCTTCAGGCATACATACCTTAACGACGCGAAGGCCTATCACATACGCGAGTCTGGCAAGTCATGCGGGTAGATTTTATTCGATTTAGAGAAAAAGTGTTTCTAGAGGTCGCTGTGGTAAAAAAGAAAGAAAGTGAGAAGAAAAACAGAATACAGGGCAAATAAAGTTTATTGATAATATACCTTGATAATATAACAATTCGTTTTGTATCTATCTTAAAAATCAATTAAACCTATTTATTATTACAACTTTGAAAATTGATTACATATCAGATGTTTTTATTTTTGGAATAAAAAGCAGTTGTTGTAATGTGTTGTAATGTTTGGAAGTCTTTGAAATTCTCCATTGTTTCGAAGGATGGAAGTTGAATATGCAGAACGGCATCCAAAAGTTTACCTCGTTCTGTCCACAATTCTTCACACCGTTGCTACGATCAATTCGTCGACGGCGGTCTTCGTACATTTCAGGGTGTCTTACAAGATGGCCAACTCCTATTTCGATAGATTCGGCTACAGTTTCAAATATCTCGTGACTTGGTGTAATACTTTACAGATGATCTACTGTGCGTTTGCGTTGTCCATGGATATTTTGAGGATAGTTAAAAAACTTCCTGACACTCCGAAGAATTTGGCGAAATTTCAAGGTTACATGAGATCCAGTGTGACGTTTCCCTTAACAATCAGCTCAGGGTGTACTTTTTGGCTCTTTTACATCTCGGTGGCAGCCAGTCAATATTATTACAACGGGCAAGAAAAGCTTCCTCTATGGCTAGTGCACATATGTACGACCAACGAGATAATTTTACAAATCATCGACATCGTGATATGTAAATGTCCGTCTCCGAACGCATCGTATTGTGCCATAATTATTTTCGCGTATATTCTTTTATATACCATATGGGTTCTTACAATTAAACACGTAACCGGAAAATGGGTTTACCAATTCTATTCGAAATTCTCAGTTGCTAAAAAAATCCTGGCCATATTGCTGTGCTACTTATCGGTGAATGCTTTTTTCTTATTTGGAAGAGTTTTAAATAAATCTTTATGGGAAAACAATTACACTCCTTCGGCCAAGGGCATCGTGCTTCGACCTGCCAAAGGAGAAATTAGAGAATATTCTCCATGATATCTCCTACAACCATGATGAAGATAAAACCAATATAAAAGTGTTCAATGATGAAATTAAATTTTCAAACAGTTTTAAACGTTTTTTAATTTAAATCCTAACGAATTTAATAACCTTATCGCCAACTTAATTGGTCACACAGCTTTTTTAAATTATCAGTATTCCGTATGATGATTTTGAATGGCATTAATATAATTTTTCTTATCGAACATATGATACGTATTTAAACTCCATATTGATGCCTTAGATTATCCGTTAATTCCAACAAAACTAAATATATTTATATTTTTAAAACATTGTACAATGCATTAGTTTCTTGAATTTGTAAACATTAGACTTTAAAAAGATTATCTTTCCATAATCATATACAGTTAAAGGAGGCGTCGGTAGCCGCAAAACATAAGGCATTGACACGGCCTTCATCATTGTCTAGGGTTCGAACCCAGGTGTAACGAACTTTTTTCCAAACACCTGCACCCCAGGGTTTGATATTACGTCTGATGTTGCGAACCGTTGTAAAAAAATAAGTAAAAAATCAAATCAAAAATCAGTCAGTTGATTGTTGAGAGAAAAGTGAAATTTAGTATCCTAGTGCCTCATGGCAAAGACAAAGTATGACATGTCTATTATACAAATAAAAAATATTTTTACCCCAGGCTATTATCTGACTGTAAAATCGTATGCGGATCTCAAGGAGAGTTTTTCGCGGTGTCAGGGACTTCCGAGGTGAAAGATGTGATTGCAGATGTGTCACAGGGGTCAATACTCGCTCCGCTGTTTACACAATTTTTACTTCTGATGTGCTCACAAATCAGAATGCATTCACCGCCACATACGCAGACGAAACCGCCATATTAACCAGTCACCCCTCTTCTACAAAAGCTTCATTTTTGTCAAAAAAACCACATGCCAATAATTGAAAAATAGAGCAAACTTTGAAAAATAAAGTTTAAAACTTCGAAGTTACAACACATCACCTTTAAATTCAGCCGTGAGACTTGTCTTAATATGTACAACAAAACGGCTCCTTAATCTGCCAAAGTTACCAAATTGGGACTTACATTTGATAGAAGACTAACTTTGAATCCGCACACAAGACTAAGAAAATCTTTATATATAAAAAAACACTTAACAAATGATTTAAAATGCTTTTCTACCTACTGAACCACGTTCAAAATTATCCATTAAAGCAAAATTTTTGTTCATATACATAAGTAGATAAAATGTATATGTTCTACCGCAGGAGGAGGTGGTGGTGGAGGTGGAGGTGGAGGTGGAGGTGGTGTCAGATCCCATGGGCCCTGTGTGTTCCTTGAGAGAGGTGTTAATGG